AGAAATTTAAAAGGAAGCATTGGGTGCACGTGAGTCGGAATACATTAGATAAAATATTATTATAAGGTGATAAAAGTTTATTTAAGTGTTAAAACATGTGAATTCAATGTATTAAAGAGCTTTTTTTTTTTGATAATTGCTAAGGAAATAATGAGAAAATAAGTAAAATGACGGGTTTTCAGAGAACGGCATAATCTGGTAACTCGGGTTTTACATTTCCTAATTGAGGTCTTTTAAATTGAATTTCATGTGAAATCAGTGAAAAGTGATTTTCATATTTTTATATGGCACTCGGAGAAAAAATGATTTTATAAATTAGTTATTTGATAGTTTTATTATGTTTTTTTTAGAGTTTTAATCAATCATGCTCAAAAACTATATGATAGATTAAAACATTTAAATTCATAAATATTTCGTTTCTTTTTTGGTGCCTCAATGTATGAGCATTATTTTTGTGCTCGAATTTAGTAAAGTGGCTTAACCATGTAAAATACAGTACGATTATTTTGAAAAACGTTGGAGATTTTACTTAACTTTATATTTAAAATCCAAGTCAATACTGTCAAATCATGTGTTTACCGAAGAGACTACAAGCCAAATCCTTTTGGTGCATTGTGACTGATGGGGTTACTCCAATGGATTTGAAATACCTCAACGGGAATACACAAGGTTAGAGAAAAAGCAGGCGACGTAATGTGGATGGATGGCGTTGATAAATGAACTTCAGGGCTGTTTGTTCGAGCAAGCAACACACACACACACACACACAAATACTCTTCCTTCTTTTACTTGAGCCATATACACTTTCATGAATAAACGAGCATCGCAAGTAACTTCTACAACACTTCCCTCTCTTCCTGTGTGATTGTACTTAACTTGTATGCCTATGCGTGTATGTGCGCTCGCGCGCAAGTGTTTAAACCGTTACTCTTTTGAAAAGGATTAGCTAAGACACAACACTGCTCCGATCGGATTACTTACGAGACAGTGATCGTGTATATACATATACACGTTTACATGTCTATTGGTGTTAGTGTATATATATATGATTATGAACAACGTATACATAGACAAACAAAGAAGAATAGCGGAAGATCTTATCCACTCAACGGATTCAACTAACCGTCAGTATCAAATAATTATCTTGTGATAATCGTGTCAGTGTAAAGATATAATTAATTTTATTACTTTTAATCGTACATCGACTTTTTACCATTATAATAGTGCATATTTGTACTCATATACTAAAATTATAAAAATCTGTACTAAACAATGTAAATAGTTTTTTCAATTTTTACGCAGTAAATATATAGTAACCAAAGATGTTCGTCATAAGGTGCGTTTATTAATAGTTAAAAATTAAACTAGTATTTAAAATTTAAGTTTCATGAAAACTAACAAGACAATTATAAGAAAGTACAGAGTATTAAATAAAATCACTTGTAAGACTATAAAATTTCATTAAAAACTTAATGTGTATTCAAATGTTTCATTCTTTTTAATATATAATTTAAATTATTTTTTTTACTGAATAAATCGCATTGTTTTAGTTGATAATGATAAATATTGGCAAAAATTACATTAAAAATGTTTTGATAATATGTTACTGTTCTTATTAAAGCTCGTATAACATCAATCAAAAAAATATTTATTGAGTATAGGTAATAGGATCGAATCATAAACACCGACTAAAGAGTTTTTAGATTTTTATATCGAATAAACTTTTTAAAAAATGTTTTTATCACCCCAAGAGATGTCCTTAAGTAATGTGTCTCGAAGTTTTTATTAAAGTTGGCCACTTTTCTCATTTACGACAGTTTTGGTAAATTATTTTACAGACCACTATAATATAATAGTATTATGACACAGTTTTTATATTATAAACACAAGAACTAAAATAAAGTGAAGTTCACAAAAAAAGTTTCTTCCTAAAAAAAATTATCCACATTTAATGGAAAAGTTTTGATTATCTGGAAAAATTATCATTTGAATGCAATTTAATTGTGTCATCCACTTTTTAGTTAAATTTTATCAAATTTTTATAATACTTTTAATGTACCTCAAATATTATACACGTACTAAAATAACTTTTATATGTAAGACTTTTAAAAACCTGTTAATTAAATCAAAAATAGTCACACTATCAATTAAATTACAAAAGTGAAACTTTTTTAAATTTTTCATTCTGAATTTGTTAAATTAATTAATTAAATTAATATTGTCTTGTTAAATATATACAACAAAAATAGATATATTTTTAATGTATCTTGTTGAAAACTATACACGCTGAATTTTTACTGATATGGTGTAGGCAAAAGCGTAAAATGAATCTTGGGCTTAAAATAGAGCATTATTAAATCCCAGTCGAATGATTAATTGTAGTGGGTCAACCATAATAGGATACGACCAGTTTCTAAGCTCAGTAATCCTTTTTATTATTACACATAGGTTTTTGGCAAAATGAGATATATATATATATATATTGTACTTTATCAATTTAATCAATAAAGCGGGTAGATAGCAAACATAAAGGCTCTGTAAATATTTGATATTGTTATTGGCAAAATATACAAACTTTAAACAATAACCATAACAGAATCTGAAACGTTCTAATTAAATGCCAAGAAATAGAATGTATTGAACCTATTTTCCTTTATACTATTCACATGGGATTTGGAAATTAATTAAGCTATTAAATTATTAGGTTAAGATTTCAAAATTATATAAGATATAATTAATACTACATAATCAATCGAAATTTTTATAAAAATTTATTACTATTCCAATAATAGTGTTACTAAAATATATACCATCAATACATAGTATAACATAAATGTTTTATTTAAAGTTTACTAATTAGGATTTTGTCTGGTCTTAGTAAAAATAAATTTTATGAAAATATAATTGATTATTATATGAATCAATAATTAAAAGCAAAAAAGTATCCGAAATTACAAAAATAACAAATTCTTGCAATCTAATAAAATGAAAAGCATTTTAATTACGAGCTATTTAAAATAATTATCCCATACAATAACTCTTATATTATCTTAAAATTAATTTTCATCAACATACCATGATGATACAACATTAATTAATTAATATGTAAAGTAAACATAGAACAAGTTAAGAGGAATTTTATTTAATATTGTTACAAATGAAAAATAAAAACTATTTTGATAAATACTTATAAAGAATATTTATCTATAGTTTTTACTTTAAAGAACAAAACAACTAAAAAGCTCTCTAACAGTGGTTAGTATTTTGTTGATTTATATTAACTGTCCAAGACAAAATGGTTTGAAATATTTGCTTGTTATTTAAGTAGTATATAACAAATGAACAATTTAAAGATTCCTTAAAGATGATTTATAAAATAAAATAAATAAATATCCAAGCTCTATAAATCGTATCTTTAAAGTAGGTTAAATGTAAGTAAAATGACAAAACAAAAATTTTGAAAAGTTTTTCTCGGCGATCATGTTTATACGTAAAAAATCAAAGCAAATGTATTTCCAATTCAATAGTTTTAAATAAATATTATATAATTTTTTTAGAGATATTTATACATCTTCTTTTTATGGCTATTACATCTGTTGTTGAAAAATAAATTATACATTTTAAAAAATTCAAATTTTACAATGAGAAGTTTCACTGTATGTATCAAAAATTCCTCAATAAATTGAAGTATAATCTCTAAAATAAAAGTACTTAATCTTATTTTGAATCAAACCTAAAATATTTTTTGAATGTAGTGTTTTCTTGCTTTGTACCAAAAATTAACGACATTAAAATTGAACTTTATCCTTATCGAACGAAAAATTATTATTATTATTTATTAATTAATTTACATAATATTTTAAAAATTGATCAGAATTAGTTATAACCTAATAATGGGTGCTATTAATAAAAGAGTCATGAATTCCTACTTCTCCCATTTCAAAAGACTTAATTTCTTAAGCCTTCTTTTGTTAATCTATTGGTTATAATATGTTTTTAAAATAAGGGAAAAAAGATTGGTGGTTTTTTATTAAAATTTTAATCAGCTATTTTTAAATGATAATCAGTGACAATTAGTAAGTTAATATTATTATTATTATATGGTGTAGCTAAAGCGTGGATTTTTTAATCGATTTTATAAATAAAAATCTATGATTAACTCTTCTTTTAATATTTGCTTGAAAATACTATACTATACAGATCTTATAGATTGTAATCAATGGTAATATCTAATCTTCAACGTTTTACATACACTTAAAAATGTTTATACGAAGAACTACTTATAATATAATATGAAAATCTACATAATGAGTAAATACTTAAGAAAGTGATTTTATCATTTTAACAGAGTTCAATTTATTTGTTTCTTCTATTGACACACCTTTAGTACATATTATTCCACAAGCTCTCACTCACGAGGAAAACTTTCTTAATAGGGTAATATTTTTGTTTAGAACGATGTTTGTATATTTTGTAAAAATATTCATAATATGCAGTTGATCTAAAAAAAAGAAAAATAGTTTTGTGGCCAATAATAATAAATGCCTATTATATTTTATTGCAAAAATAAATATCAAAAATTTTAAATTATGCCTCAAATCCTTCACCCCAAAAATTTCCATAAATATATATATCCAAAGATAAATGATCAATTTTCCTTGCTTTAACAATGAGCAATGATTTTTTATTTCTGTATGACCATAGAACTATATATCTAATTATCAGTAGTTAACGAAAGAAAACTAGTTCACTTATTACTTTGCAAAATATGCTAAACTATTTAACTATTTATCACTATGATATATTGTCTACTAAGTACTTATATTAAAGTTAACTAATAATCATGAAACTCTACATATTCAATTATATTAGTTATAGTTAAGTAATAGTGAGGTAATAGTCAAGTAATCAAATTTTGATTACTTGAATATATTAAATTAATTGATGTTTACACAAAACAATTGCTATATAGTGACTAAGAGAACTTTCTGTTATTTCAGGAGAAAACCCAGCAGCTATGCAGCATGGTCATGGCCGAAGTCTAAATATGCTGAGTTGTCCGTCCATTTGGATCCTTATACCGTCCTTAGTGATGTTTATAAATTTCAACACATATTAGCTTTTAGTTAATGCCTACATTTCATGTAGGAAAATATTTAATCAAATGTATAGTACGTGTACCTACCATTATTGAATAATTTGTTTTTTTAATAAAATAATGTATTATATCATAAATACGGTAAAATATGTTAAGTCAAAACCATGTCTTGTTAAATATTTTAATATAAAGAAAATATAGTGATGTAACGTGTGAAAAGTAATCATGTATAAATATTTAGGTGAAATTTCAAAAATCTAAGTATACGACTTTTCAAAGAAATAATAACGTTTATCAAATTGTTTTATCAGTAAAATAATGATGCATTTCTATTTTATGTAAACAATGGTGTATTTAAGTTAAACGAATTTTTTATTCCAAGAATATTATATTAAGCTCTCATGTTACACTTTCATCACAGTAAAAAATAAAAAATATATATTCATTGTAAATACAAACAATGTAAATACAAATATTTAATATTAATTAATTATGATTTTTTAGATTTTATTAAATCGTTTAAAGTTTTAATTTTACCCAAGTAATTCTACCTTAATTATAATTATTATTCGTGAATAGCCATTTAAAAGCCTTTGACTATTAAGGGGTACTCTAGTTTTATTAGATCCCTTGTCGGAGACTGAATATATTTTTATTTTTAACAAGTACTGAATTTATTTATTTACAACAGCGATATAACAAACTTCATTAAAATAATATTTCTTTCTACTATAATTATAATTATTACTTTATTATAATATTTGTGGTACTACGTCAAATTTTGTGCGACTTATGATATTTAACAACGTTAGAAACTGCGATCATTTACATCGTTATGGTTAGGTATTGTAGTTTCTACGGCATAGATCTTTTAAATTAAATATTTTAGATAAACAGCGATTCTATTTAAAGAAAAAAATATCTTTTTTATATAGATAATAAAATTCACAATATTCAATTATTTTAAAAATGTCAGTCGTTTTATATTAAAATTATTAATTTTCATAATTATATTATTTTTAGTAGATCAATCCTTTTATATTCATTAATAGAACTGTACATATTTCGATCTCACTTTCATTAAGTCAGCAGTTTATAAATAAATGAACAATTTTTAATATAGCGTTAAAATTGTGTTTCTTATTAATTTTACAACAAGAAAATATTGTTTTTTATGTTCTATAAATTCAAAGGTAACATGTAGTAAGTATAACATCGTATAATTTCATTTTTTCTTATATAAAATTTCAAGTAGAATTTATAAAAAAATAATTTAAGAATAGTTAAAAATTATATGATTAATTCAGGTATAAGTGGACCGAACCATATTTATATACAAATAAAAAATCATATTTTGCATGCACAATTCATTGAGTAATTCCAAACATTATATGTTCTGCGATTTTCTACAAGATTATTATAGTTAAATTTATTTCTTCTTTTTAAACCCCGTTTAAGTCAATATATATCAGTAAGTCTTTTATTTTTTTTTTTTTTGTGATTTTGCCGAACTATCAAAAAAGATTATAAATGATATTGTATTCGAACTTAATAAAAAAAAACCTAGTGTAGTGAATACTTTAATAGAAACAAATATCTTATTTAACTTAATGTGCAAACATTAAATGTTATATATTAATTATATAAGTTCCACTCGTGATTTTTAAAATAATATTATGAATTTTAAATACTTTTAAAAATCGTTCAATTACTCATTCATTATTTGTTGAAAACAAAAGTCTTTTGGTACAACACCAAGTTCTAAGATGTATTTGTAATTACCAACAAATTATAATTTATGTTTGTCGCCAATCATGAAAATTCATAAATTTTTACGAGATGTATGAATATTTGTATTACTTTTTTTTACTATATAATTATTAAGTTAATATTTTTAGTTATGTGTTAAAAATTTATTTATAAAATTGTATATACATTATTTATTTGTTGGTAATTACCAACAAATAATTATAATTAAATTATTTGTGATTGTTTTAAATTTGTAAATATAAAAATAAATTAAGCATAAATAATAAAGTTTAATCAATGACCTTTTATTTTAAGAATAATATATAATAGATAATTAAAATTAAAACAAAAAATATTACCCTGATCACATTTAAAAATCTGTCATCCTATAGGGGTGGCTTGAATGAATAAAAGGTTTTCCAAGCTGAAAAAAGAATTCATATATACTTGAGTAAGGCCAAAAAATGTATAGTGATAAATTTAGCAGCACTCGCTTTTCATATTCATTCATTAGTTTATATTTTTAATAATTTCTAAAATACTGGTCTAAAAGTTGTTATCGATCAGTCATTTTCTTAATAACATTATTTTCTATTTTATAAGCTAATTAATTATATGTCTTGTAATTTGGAAAATAAAATTTAAATCCTTATAAGTGCAATCTACCATATTGTTTAGCAATTTATAAAGAAATTATGATATTTACCCAACCATTTGCATAAATCTCATTTGAAGTGTTTGCATATCAGCACCTACGCCATACCTACTCAGCTTTTCATCGAAGCTAAAATTCACAAAATATATTATTTTAAGAGATATTGAGTGGCTGTTGTTTAAAGAATCATCTTGCATTTGCTCGTATATTCATTTTATAGACGTTTAACAAATTAAAATTATTACAATTTAACTAGAATTTAAATTTTATTTTTAAAGTGCAGCCTTTCTATATAATATTTATATGTAATAATTAAAAAACCAAATTATTAGGGTAATTCATTCATATGCTGAATAATGATAGCTAATAAAATATATAGTTACTTTCAAGGATATTCATGCAGCATAATACTAATCACATGACCGCAGTATTCATGCGTACCAATGAGTCTTACAAAAATTTAAAATATCTTATAAAAATGTACACTATTACTTAAGATTATTTTAATAATCTACTTCATTTAAATTTTAAACTATGTACTCATTATGAATCTTTGATTATTCATTATATCTTATAGCTAAATAATACTAGGAGTTTCAGTTTAAAAATCATAAAGTTCATTTATTTAATATAGAAATGTATAAGGCTCGAAATTTCGATAATATTTAAACATTTTAAATTATAAAACTTATAGAATTGATTAATTTTTTAACTAATAAAATTTTTATAATTTTCATTCTACACGAAATAACAAGTATTAATTTTGATACGCTAATATATAGCCATAACAGATATATTTTTATGGTGTTTTTGATCATATGAAATGGACAATCTTACGAAGAAGATCGAAAACTTATTCTAGCATTGATTGATCGTCCTATAAACTAACTATTGTTCACCTTACACATCACATTCTCCGATCAATTTACATTTCTTTTGCTTTACATCATGTCTGAATTTCCTAAAGAAAGAATCCTCACCTCGATGACAGTTGATTATTTTTGGAAACCGATTACACCATTTGTTTTATCCATCAAATTATTTATAGTCTAAAATAAATTTCGTTATACTATTATGATTTACACCACTCATTAGCCCCCGTAACGATAAAACTTGATATTGTTTTTTTTTTGTTAAACTTAGTATTGGCATTATTCGATGAGTATATTTTTAATATAGTCAACAATATAGTGTACTTAACTCCTTACTTATCTGCTGGACAAATTCGTAGGGTAGATCGAGCCGTTCACCTAATAACAATGTTGTCACCATAAAAGTCACTCTACACAAAAATCGTTAAGATTCTGATGAATGATTAACAGTTAGTTCAAAGGGTAAGTTTAAAAAACAACCTACCAATCCAGTTTCTATTAAACTACAGTACTTTTTAGATAATCGAGTGCTATTACTATTATCTAACTATAATTAAGGTTTATACCTACGTTCTGTGTCCATGTTTGTACCACGCGGAGCCAATGTCGTATATCACCTAAATCTTATCATTTGTCAAGCCATCACTCACATTCTCATGTTCATCGCCCCTTTATAGAACATTTATGGTTCAGTTATTTTATGATTTTTTATTTAATTCTTCACTGTTTTATGCCTTTAGTATTTAATGCCCCTATTCTTAACTTTAAGACTTAAGATAATCGTTGAAAACCCTTTAACCTTTTATTTGTTATGCAATTATTGTTTTCGCGTCATTCGTTGGATGTACGGTTAACCGGCATCCACCAAGGTTTAACCTTCTCCTCTAGTGATCGTAAACAGGCGAGATGGCAATCTAGTGCGGTACACAACTAGCCATTCGCTACCTCATACAAAACACATTTAGATAGCAAACGTCCGGTCGAGTGATATTAGAAGATAAAAATGCTAAATAAATACTTTACAACTGACTTTAAGCGCACTATTTATGTCAATTAAAAAAAAATTTACCGTAGATGTAACTTTATGACTGCATAATATCAGCACATTGATAAAATATCGTAATGTGAGAACTCTAAAATAGAAAATTAAAAGATGACTACAGTATTAACTTAAAACAAGATACTAAATTGAGGAACGAATTCATAATTTCCTGATAATGATAAACAATAGAGTTTTGATAACTATACACATATCTTTTATTTTATATATTATGGTTATAAAAAAATGGTGCCGCTCCTTAATTTCATAAAAGATTTGCCTGAGTAGATGGTACCCATTCAGCCCCTCCCTAAATATGTCTCTGAAAGTCGGCTTGGCGCTGAATGTTATAAATGGTTTTATGCCCTCCTGTGGATTTAAAATAGTAACTTTTTATAAAAAATAATTTTTTCAACATAACTTTTGAAAATGTTACGGAAATAATGCGTCCTTTAAACATGTACCAAATTAAAGCTTATGTCATGTACTATAAAATAAAAAAAAAACTTGTCCCGATTTTTTATCTTCAGCATGCAAACGGCTACCGTAGTTAAAAAAATTGTATTTTTTTTTTTAAATTTTCGATTTTAAATTTTCAACTTTAAAATGCTACAACCTATCGAAAAATGTATGTATCAGCACTTTTTTTTTCTAAATACATTATAAGTATATTTTTTATTTGACAAACTTTTGATTAAAATTGGACAATTTTCCCTTATATATGGGGCGTTCAAAACTTGAAACATTGTATTAAAAATAGAACTTTTTCAACTTAACTTTTGAAAATGTTCAGGA